TCGTTTTGTTTTATGGGCCTGTCTAATCTTTGGCTGAAGGGTGAGCCTCAGGAGTGACTTCATTACTGAGTTAAATGTCCAGGGGTCATACTCTTGGGGTTTCTCCAGTCTGTCAGTCTGGTCTCTCTTTGTGAGTTAGAATTTAGTTCTACATTTTTCTCCAGCTCTGTCCAGGACCCTCTATTGTGATCGCTGTCAGAGCAGTCAGTGGTGTAATCGGGCACCATCTAGTTGTGCTGGACTCAGTCTGGTGAAGGCTGTAGTAGTTGTGGTCTCTTAGTCCTTTCGACTAATCTTTCCCTTATGTCTTTGATTATCTTCATTCTCCTCTCCTCCAGATGGGGTGGGACCAGTGCAGTACCTTAGATGGCTGTTCACAAGCTTTTAAGACCCCAGATGCTACTCACCAAAGTAGGATGTAGAGTCCTTATAAACTATGTTATGCCAATTGAGCTAGATGTAAAGGCAGGGATTTTTTTCTGTTTCATTCACTGCTATATATCCAGTGCCTAAAATGGCACCTATAATTGGTAGGTATTCAATAAATACTTGTTGAATAAGTAAATTAATGAATGTCATTTAACACACCCAACAAATCCATGAAATAGGCACTATTATAATTCCCACTTCACAGATGTGGAAACTTTGGCTAAGCTGAGGCTTGCCTGAGGATACCAAGCCTGTGAGTGACAGCTGAGATTATAACCCTAATCCTCTGGCTCCTAGCCCAGGGTTCTTGCCACCACATTGTACTGCCTCTGGGTAGCAGGACCTACTCTGTTCCTCTAGGTTGTGCCAAGCTTCTTAACAGACTTGACCATAACACTGGAAGCCTTTGTATGAGTTGTTAGATGCCTGCCACATTTGCAAGGAGAAAATGGAATACAGCAACAGGTAGACTCAACAAGGCTCAACACATTGTGAACTCAAACAAAATCCCTAATCCTGCCTCCAGTATTCTGTCTGGTGGATTCATATAGCAGATGGAATTCATATAATAGAAGAAATTAAATTAAAAGAACATGACCCCCCCACCAATTAATCCATCAAAGGCTAGTTACTGGGCACCTAGTATGATCCCTGGTAGCACAGTGGTTAAAAGCTTGGCTGCTAACCAAAAAGTCGGCAGTTTGAATCCACCAGCTGCTCCTTGGAAACCCTTTGGGGCAGTTCTACTCTGTCCTATAGGGTCGCTATGAGTCAGAATCAACTCAACGGCAATGGGTTTGGTTTGGGTTTTAGTATGATCAGGATGATGGATGGAATACAATGTAGCTAACCAAGGTCCCTAGCTTCAAGAGGTTATAACTTATTTGACAAGCTAGGACAGATTTAACACACACACACAAACTATAAGACAGTTAGATTTATCAGCTGAGAGGTTAAGTTAGTCTACCATTAGTTTGATTCCTGTTTCCACCTGATTCTGTCAAGTCCTAGAAGAAGTGGTGCCTCATCTCTTTCGGGCAGTTCTTAGTTTCTTCCACAGTTGCTGTTGGTAAGAGAGGTCTTGCTTTCTCAGTCCTCTCACCACAGCCCCACCCAACTAGATAATGACCAAGTAGTCACGGCCTGGCAATAACTTCTGTGGTCCAGCCCAGGAACCCGAGTCCTGACCAGGGACAATCTGGAAGCTCAAGAGAACATCCCAAGCCCAGAGGCCTCTACTAATCTGTTCCTCTGGTCAGTGGTTACCCCAGGACAATTAAGACTTTTTATTTTAGTTTTTTATTTATCTTTTTAATGGCTTTAAAAGTAGGAAACAGCTCCAGCTCATATCCCTTCTGTACCAAGAATTATGCCTTTGGCTAAAGGCATAGTTGGGAACATATTCTATGAACACAATGTGGGTTCTAAATGTTTTTCACATCATCGGATGTCTAAGTGGTTCTTGGCCAGTAGTACATGGCTGAAATAATTGGGGGGGGGGTGCGGTGGAATGTGGTTGGAATGCAGGGTATTCATAACTATTACAAGAACTTACTCTTCAATCCCCATGTCAATTGCCATTCATTGTACCACTGCAATTTTAACCAAGTAATAGAATTTCTTTTGTTTGTTTGTGGTTTGTGTTTCAGTCATAGCAATAACATTTATTTGCTATAAAATGACCACAATTTAAAAATTTATTACCACTGTGTTTCAGTTAGTAAAACAGTAAAATGCATACTCCTCAGTACTCTTGTGATTGTTTAAACTACTAATGGGATGATGCCTTCTGTTTATTTGTGTTTCTGAGTCAAGTCACTAAAACTTGCTATCAACAATACTATTGAAAAATTTCATATACCACATGTGATATACCATGGCATCAGAATGTCTGTAAACATATACATGTTTTCCCAGGGAACAGAGAGTATATTACATTTCAGTTTCAATGCAACTCAGAGAACACATAAGTGGTATGATGACAATGGCCCAAGATTCTGTGTAATCTTAAATTCTTTCACTACAGAAGTGTCTGGCTATTAAAAAAAAGCCTTTGTTGTCAAGTTGGTTCCAATTCATGGCAACCCCACGTGTTTCAGAGTAGATCTGTGCTCCACAGGGTTTTCAATGGTGATCTTATGGAAGTAGATCGTCAGGCCTTTCTTCCACAGTGCCGATGGGTAGGTTCCAACCGCCAACCTTTTGGTTAATAGCAGAGAGTAAACTGTTTGTGCCACCCAGGACCTTGTATCTGGCTATAAGTTACTTAAAAATGAAAAACAGAAAAAAAAAAGAAAAGAAAGAAAAGAAAATCTTACTCCTCAAAATGAAAATCCAAAATGAAACAAAAAAAAAAATGATCCATTTCACTCTTGGCTCTGAAACCTCCAATATCGAATTCTCAGCCTCATTTCCCACTAACTGATGCCAAGGATAAAAGATTACTGAGGCTGGGGCAGGAGAAGATAATTTTATGACTACAACTTTAGCAGATGACTCTTGAAGACCTCTCTACAACCCTCGGAGTCCAGTGGGGGTTATCTGAGCTGAACGCCCAGCACATCTCTCACACTAAATATCCCTGAGGTCCTACCAGTCACACCTACATCAAGGCCCAACTACTTCAACAACAACAACAGCTTAAACTTTAACACGGAAGGAGCATTTGCTGGTCTGGTTTGGCATTCAAAGGACAGGCTTGTATTGCCTTTAGTTTGCTGGCCAACACTGTCCTCAAAATGAGTCAGACAGTCCCAGTCAGTCCCTTTGACATTCACTGGATAGTGGAAGAATAACAGT